GCAGCAGGAGTAGTACTAGTAGTAGCAGTCGTAGGAGTAGCAGTAGTAGTAGTAGAAGCAGCAGCAGTAGCAGCAGCAGGAGTGGTGGTGGTGGTGGTGGTGGTGGTGGGGGTGGCGGTGGTGGCGGCGGCGGCAGTGGTGGCGGTGGTGGTGGCGGTGGCGGTGGCGGTGGAGGTGGAGGTGGCGGTGGCGGTGGCGGTGGCGGTGGCAGCGGCGGTGGTGGTGGTGGCAGCGGTGGTGGTGATTGTGATAGCTGATAGTAGTAGCAGTAGGAGTAGGAGTAGCTGTAGCTGTAGCAGCTGCAGGAGCAGCGGCCGTGGCAGCAGTAGCAGTAGCAGTGGCAGTAGCAGCAGTCGCGGTCATCGTTTAGATTCGTGTTGTTAGGGTGTGGGTTGTGCCAACTTTTAGGGTCTAGGCTTTGCCATCATTATTCGATATGTTTCTTGGGGTTTGGGCTTTGCCAACCCAGATCTTCTGTTTTTCCCAACCATTACCTTCTGGGATCACTCCCGATGTTGTGCAAATCTCCGACGAAGTTTTTCCGCAGGTACATGACGCCGACTTCATACTTGGAGCTGATCAAGCTGTTTACAGACCTGCTCCTTTGCAGGACTAAACCCAGAGCCGTATCGTTATTGTCGCGGGTTTGGGTTCAGTTGGGTTCAGGTGTTTCGGTTCTCCTTGCCTTCCGCATGATCTGAGGCTTGGAATGAAGAAAGGTGAGCTCGACACGAAGCTGAACCGCTATCGAGTGCGCCTTATGTTGAGACGGTGTGGCCGGTGCCGTGTGCTTCAATATTGCCCGGAAACCGTTTATAGTCAGCGCAGCATCAGGTGTGTCATGACCTTGCCGCAATCTTCCTGCATTGAAGGGCATGGTGAGTCGGTGATCTATGACCAGGTAGTACTCTAGTTACATGAGCACCAGAAACCGAGACCTGACTGTAGGAAGCTCGCCAGGTGGGTGCCCAGCGTCTGAAGGAGACGGAAACAGTGGTGGATAAGCTCAAGGCAGCCCGGCAGCTGTGCGAGCCCCTTTAGAAAGTGCTTCCGAGTTGCGCTTGAGCTGTGAAAAAACCCCTATTGGCCTAACTTGTCGAAAGCCGCTTGTGATCCTCTAATATGTTTCATGGTTTTCGCCGAACACAGACCCCCTCTAGATAATGCTCATGCCAGAAGCATTTGCACGCACGGTCGCGCGTAGAGTGCATCCGAAGATACTAAGGCCCTAGGGTCCGGTTGTCAGGTAGACCTCACGAAGATGCAGCCAGTCATAGAGCAGGGAAAGAAGGACCTCAGCCGCCTGTTCTGGTTGATGCTGGACGCCTTTGACGAAATTTGAAGCTGATGCGAGTCCAAGCAGCCGTGTGGCATCCTAAACGTTGGGCTTGGGTCGAGTTGGGATTGAAGGACACCGAGAAGCTCATCGTCCAGGCACCTTGCCGGAACCGGAGAATAAGCAGACGATCCTAATCCTAGACATATATTTGTCAGTCTCGAAAGTCGTTGGTTCCTGTTTTGTGTCCGCAGTGCGCGCGCGCGGGTGTGTGTGTGTGTGTGTGGGTGTGTGGGTGTGTGGGTGTGGGTGTGGGTGTGGGTGGGTGGGTGTGTGTGTGTGTGTGTGTGGGTGCGTGCGTGCGTGCCCCCACGATGTGCCCTGCGCCAGCTTGTCTAGGGAGGCTACACAGCATTGGAGTTGCTACTGTTATGGACAGTTCAATGGGATGCGATCACAGCAGTTGCAGCCGACTCGCAGCGATGGCCCGCATGCTTGACTTGCGGGTTGCATCCGGACTGTGCTCCTTCTTTGTCGCTATTGCAGTTGCACTCAGTTTGTCTGGCTTTGATGGCCTCGGCAAGCTGCCCGCGAGTGTGATGGGCCTGAGACTTTATGACCAAGGAACGCCGACCAAGAAACTGCACATAACACAAAAACCCGAAGATCCTGCAATATGCAGCGCCTCCTGTCCGTCCATTTCTCCGCTGAAGGCATGGACGCCTTTTTCGAACATGCAGGTCATGACAGATGTGCAAGTGCTTTGGTCCGGGAATGGAACCAGCGATGTGAAGGAGGTCATGGTGGATGAAGAAGTTAAGATCGAGATCCATAGACATTTCTCCTTCGAGGATGCCCCTAATGTCTTTGCTTGGATCCGCTCGGAGGCGGAGGACATTCTCTATGCTGAGCTTGGCACGCCCAGTGTGGGTAAGACCGAGATTGAGGGATGGAAGGTGTCCTTCAAAATCATGGATCCTGGCCGGTACATGGTTTATCTTTTTGCCGTCACGCCGCCTCCACGCGCCAACCGGCTAGAACCCAGAGAATACAGGATCGAGGCCCTGAGTGCCAAAGCCCAGGAGCTGCAGGTTTCGCAGTTGAGTCCCGATGGGCTTGGCTTGTTGACAGCCTTTGATGCGAGCAGTATTCCCAAGCGCCATTGTCAACTGGGGCTGGACGAGATGAGGGGACGATGGGTTCGCAGTAGCGTGGTCAGCGAGGCATCTAGATGCCTGAGCTTGGGGTGCCCAAGGGATGGTTGGACGTACGTCTCAAGGACATGCTACTGGAACGTCTTGAGCGAAGCGGACACCTACAAGCTCCTGGAGATGATCGAGAGAGAGCCCGGGAAGCCCCAAAAGCCTCTTTCCTTGATTGCTGCAGGGAGCTCTGTTCTCCGTGGAAGCCTGCAAAGCCTGCTGGACGCCTTGGTTCCGAATGCTTGGCAGAGTTTCGCTGGAATCAAAAGTATCTCGGGCGTGGGCACGACCGTTAAATGCTGGGGTTGGCTGGAATATGAGGTCGACAGGAACCTCCATCTAGCCTTCCATGACTGGCGCCTGCCCAGCTACGAAAAGAGTGATCGAAACTGGGCCTCAGCAAGGATTTTGAAAACACTGAAGGAGAATCATGAGATGGTTGTTATCGAGCTGGGCTTCAACATGCATTCCGACCAAAGGAGCTTGGATAATGAGCTGGAATCTTTCTGGAGCCCTATTTTCCAGGAGGTGCTGCCGACTCTGACGGGGAAAGTCATCTTGTTCGCAGGCCTCTACAGCCCTATGAACTTTCCGGTTTGTGTTCAAAAGAAGTGCGCCATCAGCTGGGGTCGAGTTGCGTGGGTCCAGCAGAGTGTCGAGAAGCTAGTCGCATCCTGGCCTAACAAGACAAGAGAGGCTTCCCAAGGCAAGCTCCTCGTCGTAGACCCTGCACCTATGGCACTGGCCATGTTCTTTGATGGCGAAACAGAAATGGGTCAAGGCATGTATGCCTCCCAACATTGGCATCGCTACGACTACTCGCAAGAGCCGGGAAGGAAGGTCTTCGGGACCGTCGCTGATGTGCTTGGTCAACTCTTCGTCTCGGAGCTCCTTCGAGGTAGGAAGTTTTCGGAAAGCCTCCCGCCTCAGACGGAGACGAACCAAACTACACGAGCCTGCGCACAGTGCCCGGAGACAAGCTGCTGCCCGTGGCGGCCTGTTCCACTGGAGTTGAAGTACAGCCTCGCAAAGCTCGAGGCTCTACCACACTTCGATAGCTGGGCCCAGTTGCCCCTTGAAGGCTGCGGCAGAGTAGAGTCAACCCGCGCGTGGTCAAAAAAAGGCAGGCGCAGGCGAGGCTTGCTGTGGTCCGGTAAAACTCAGCGACGGCTGGCTGAGACGCTGCTCGCTGCAGGCTCCCAGCGGAAAAAACGCCATGCTAACGAGTTCCAGAGTTATGCGAGGCCTCTTGAAGCCGGCACACGGGCACACCATGCACAACATGCACCCCCCAAATCACCTAAAAGGAGGCTGTGGCGACACAAGAAGCCACAAGAAGCCGTGAAGCCATGGGGAACAACTGCTGTGCCAGCTCCGACGGCGATAAAGGCGATGTGACTTGGCAGTGGTGGCAGTGGTTCCGCAAACTTTCACCAACTCGGACTGGTAGCCGACTTCTAAACAAACAGATGTTCGACGAAGGTCGCCGTTACGAAGCAAGTTCGCGTCCAAGACATCGTGGACGCTCACAGCTCTGTGGCAACTCAGCTGATAGGAGAGGGGAGAAAGAATGGGCCAAAGGCGTTCGGTGGCCAGTTTCCCTCGTATACACGTGTACCGTGTAACGCTCTTTTGCCGGTCCTCCCTCGTGCTTCGAGTTTGGGTCGTCTAGCCTGAACCCTATTCGAAACTCTGAGAAAGCGTCATGTGCAGTTTCAGTTGGTGAAGATTCAGTCATCTGGCGGCATACTAGGGGAACCTTTGGGACGATATTGAGAAAGCCCGAAGCAGGTGAAAGGTCCCTGACCCGAACCCGACAACGAAGACGAATACCTCTAAAGGAAGAATCGTGCGGCTCCCGAAACCATAGAGACTCCTTCTATAGAAGTGCCCAAGCCATGTGCTCTCGGAGCAAGGTCCAGTCTGGCGCAGACCTTGCTTTGCTGGAAAGGCTGGAAGGCCCCGGACTGTCACTTTTGTCGACGTGTCGAAGTTTTGGGGCTTCGGGCCACAGACTGTCCCCAGGATCCTCGTGGATACGCAAGTCGGATGGCAATGCAATGGCCGCTCGGTGTGGCTTTCGACTGGGCGCTCCACTCTTGCTTGCCTTGCAGCTGTGGCATGCCCCGGCTATCCCCGGCTCAACTGAGGGCCAGATCCAAAACTCCGAAGTCGTCTGGGACTCCGCAGCGTTGCATTCTCACATGGCTTTCAGCTGATCCTTCAATCCTCACAAATTATACTCTACTGTCGGGTCGGATTGAGTTGCAACTTCAGGGAAAACGCTTATGCTGACCATTCAACACGGCTTCGAGATGGCCAGCCACAGCCAGCCACATGGTGGGTTGCGGGCTTCCTCAAGTTTCTAACGGTTGACTGGCAAGACTGTGCACATTGCGGACCACGACGCCAAGCTTTCACTTCTATCATCGCACCAGCAGCACTCAGCAGGGTAAATGGGGAGGGTCGCGCGCAGCTCGAAGTTAACCCCTCTCGGACATAGCACCTTTTACGGGGCCTAGAGTGTTCTTTCGCAACGCGGTTCGCCGCGTCGAGCAGGTTTGTGGCAGTAGCTTGTCTGCCTGCGAACATTCGGGAACTCTGTGGATCGAGTTTTGTCTTTGCTGCTGACTTCTGACACCGGTGCGTCTTCCAGGACAGCGGCTTCAAGTCCGCCAACAGCAAGCTGAGTTCGAACGGCACGGCAACGATAGCGGCAGCCTCAACCATCTCAACCCTTTCATGACAAGGGAAGGGCCTACCACCTCCTCAGACCCTATTCTTGCTTCGTGTTGCACGGCATCCTTATGCTTACGGTTGAGGGTCTTGGGTCCTGAACACGAATCCTGTGCCAATGTGATCCACTCATCGACTGTCGCGATGACACATCTCCTGCATGCTCTTCTACGCAAGAAGTTGTGTCCTCCTCACGCTTCTCGCTTTTTGACATATAAATAGAAATGCATGGCAAATTTTATGTCCTTTACTGATTTACTGATACACAATTAAGCATGTTTCTGGACAAAAAGCTAAGTGCCGGCTAACTTTTCTTATCTTTTTCTTAGTCACATATACGTGATTCATAACTTTTTGTCTCTTTTCTTATCTTTTCTATAACTGCATGCAAATACTCACACTGAAGTTTTTGAAATGCATCTTGAAAGTTACAAGTAAGAGCTTACCCTTTCACGAACAAGGCATCTACTTGGAACTGTGGCCAGAAATTGCAAGTAGTTATGCATCAGTTAGGCCAACTGTAACAGCACATAACCTGATTATAGCACCATTTGTAGTATGGATATGACCACCCTAACCAAAAGAACCCGCTGTGAAGACTCTGAAGAGGGCCGCCGGCATGACGGTGGACCAGTTGGCCTCTGGAAAGAGCGCTCTGGTTCGAGAGCTTGCCAAGAAGCTCAAAAAGGGCTCACAGACGCTACCCAAGCGGGAGCTGAACAGCTCCGTGAGCCTGAAAAGTATCTCCCTGTGCCCCCTTTCAAAGAAGTGCAGACCGGCGACGAGCTCCAGCTGCACGGCGCTGACAAAGAGCACCTGTACAGGAAAAGACGCATCGCGCCGGCCTTTCGCTCTGCTGCATCGCTCGCCTCCTTCGCTCGACTCCTGCTTTCAACTCCTTCTCTCCTCCGCACGGTAGCCTTGCGACGTGAATACTAGCTGTTACTAGCTGCAGCTGATGAGTGAGTGTGTGTCTGTCTGTGTGTGTGTGTGCGTGGTTTTGCGCAGCATGCCAAGGTCATGAACATAAAAGACAAGGAGAAGTCTTACAGCTTCTCAGGTGCACGGGAAGGGTTTAGGCCCAGTATAGGCTTTAAACATCCCCAATTCATCCCCGAACCTCCCCAGGTACGGTTGCCTTCGAGGACCCGGTGTCCATCACCTGGTCGGATGGCGATGTCTGGACACGAGTCACAGGCTGAATGTGGCTCAAGCCAAGGGCCGGTAGAAGCCTTAAGCCGCGGGGTTATCAGAGGGGTGCGATACAATGTAGATTCTTGATCTTCGAAGACTTCGTCTCAGAGTTCTTGACTGTTTCCTGAAACCAGTCTGTTTCTCCTTGAGAAGAAAGCCCACGCTCTGAGCCGGCGATCGGTTCAGAGTAAGTGCGTGGTCCGCGGTTTGAGACACCAACGATGATGGCAGTTTGTGAGCTATCAACGGAGTTAAAGACTCCCATTCAACCCCGTTGTACACGTCAGTGTCACCACAGCACGCGATGGAGTGCTGAACATCCTGCCACCGTGCCGTGCGTCCGGTGCGTGAAAGCGGTTAGCTTGGCAGCAATTTCACCATGACTCAGCCCCATGCACTGCTACACCAAGCCCTTCGTGAAGGCTATTTTTTGCCGGGTCCGCCTTGCTAGAGACCGATTCTTTGTCCAGTCGGCCGCATTGTGCCAGGTGCTACTGTATGCAGTGAACTTCTCGTGTCTTGCGCCGACAGCTGTGCACGTTTCATGATCCTTACGATCCGAGTGTGGAAGGAGACTTGCAAAAGCTTCGAGAGACTAGCCTGGTTGACATTAGTAGAATGCTGAGTTGCTTTCTGATTGGTTATGCTTGGTTCATCCGCATCACACCCCCTACCAAGACCTTCAAAACTGAACCCTATCGAAAACACCAAACCCAGCTTGAGTCCGTTCTGGTGGCAACTCGTGTGGAATCTGCTATCGACTGTAGCCTCGCATGAGGAGTCTGCCATGCCGCTTTCAAGCAGCTTGTCAATCCTGCAAGCGTGGCTGCGGCCAAGGATGCCAGCCATTCATTATTCAAGCTTGTCTTGAAGCAAGGCTGCTACAATCACCAGACACGAGCTGCTTGACCAGCCGCCACGCGCGTCCGCACGACTTAACGCAGCAGTCGGGGCTGGAAGCAACAGGAAAGAACAATGAACATAGTGGTCTAATGCTAATGTCTTCTGGTGGGAGGTGTTTAGATCTGCGCCTCTCGAAGTTCATCGATGGTGGAAGCGTGCGTTCTTTACTGCAGCACTCGAAGTTTCTCCTGCTTGGATGACCGTGGGACGGTACCGCTTCAAAGCCTCAGACATGTCCAATGTCAGTCTGCTGACTGGCATGAAAACTTCTTGCCTGTGCGGGATGCACCTCACACCGTGCAAAGTCCGGGAGTTGAGGGGCCGCCCGGGAGATGGAGGCTGCATGCAATAGGTCACGATCGCAGATGGTTGGCTTCATGCTCTTTTGAGTCAGATTCTTAAGAGATCGACCCATGCTTGCAGCACGAGTCGCAACGACCTCGCCCAAACAGCTCTCTGTGCCGGCGTCCATCTCGCGGGCCACGTTTGCAGTCAGAGCATCTGTTGGCCAAACCGGTGCGCACGAAGAAACATTGCCGTGGTGCAGAGTCGGAGGGATTCGGCTAGCCCAGAGCACCATAAGAAGTCGAAAGAAGCAATGTTCCCTTAACAACCCCGCCAGCCTGAGCATTGGTGGTAGAAGCTCAGATTGTCTTTTTGCGAGTCGGCATCCGAACTTGAAGAAAAGCCGCAGGTGGACAAGGAGGAAGCTGTTGCCAAGGAGGGAGGGGGGGATGGCCACACAGGGACGTCTCTGCCAACTGCAGCCTGAGGAAGCCCAGGCCGCCTGTGAGATCGACGAGAAGGAAGCCGGCGAGGCTGGGAGCGGGAGCGGCCCGGAGCGGCACTGACCCGAACACGAGGGCACTTCTCTTTTGCTGCCTGCCACAGGCTGCAGCCACGGCCAATGCCATCAAGACAGAGTGCCAGAGGGAGCTGGACGAGGAGTCCTGGTGCTCTTTGTCGAAAGTTTGCGGCGGAAAAATGCTCGTAGCGTGAGGCAGGCTTCAGGCACACCGGTGGGGTTTGTAGCTGGAAAGCAAAGCAGCTTGGTCGCAGGCGCTGCCGGAGTACTACGATGCCATTAAGGCCTTGGACTCTTTGGACAAGAAGGACATCCAGGAGGCACGTGGCAGATGGCTCAAATGACAGAACGCAGCCGTGTCTTACCGAAGGCTCTAAGAGTTGGAGCCTCTAGAACAGCATGGACACGCTGGAGCACGGCCAGCCTGGCATGCGCAACTGGTGCAGGTGAAGTCCTTCGCGAAGCCTCCTGCCTTGGTGGAGGTTGTCCTCAGTGCAGACCAGGGCTCAGCAGAGATTGGTCAACGTCTTCATTGCAGGAGGTATCCTCATGTCTGTTTCGAGAGCAACGGGTGCCCGAGTTCACCACTACAGCCAGTTCTGGCATCTCCAAAAGGTGTGTTTGCTCATGAACAAGAAGGAGACTTGGGACGAGGCACACTCGAGCAGAGAGGGAAGCCAGAGCTGCTGCACGAAGCATAGGGAAACTCTTTCGGTGCAGAAGTCTTGGCAGGCCAAGAAGGTGATGAACGACACGGGCTTCCTGCAGTCCCTCAAGGATTACGACAAGGCCCGAAAGAACCACTCTTGCTTTTTGAACTCGAGCCTTGACAGCTTAACGTGCACAGTGCCCTCTCTTGACTCTCCCATCCTGGTCTTGTTGGCGGGTTCCTCTGTGATCGTCTTGGATTTGCGACCTCGACCCATGCGTGATTTTGATTTACCCGGTGACTTGGACGAGGTCTGTCCCGTCAGATTCACCGACGGAGTTCATCGGCTCGGCCCGCTTCTCCCTAGGTTCCGAACGACACCGAACGGCAAGCCGGCACGGGGAGAAAGCGTCTTTGTATCGGTTGATTCAACTTACGAGGGGCCGGCGGGTCCTCTTTTGTCGGCTGGCCTGGGAACCGTGTCGATTCTGGCCCGAAAATCACAGGTTGTGGAGATCGGTTGGAATGGCCTTCTGGACCTCCTCTCTTTCCTCTCTTCCCTGTGACCGAGGCGGTGCCAACATACCCACGTGGGCCTGTGTTCTTCATGCGCTTGGGGCAAAGACAATGTCCTGCCAACTGACAAGCAAGGAAAAAGAAGATGACCAGAGGAAGGGCAGTCCTGAAACGTGCAGGCCAAGCATGTACCCAGACCACCTGAGAAGCCTCAAGAATTCGCGTTACTGACTCGAAGATCGAGTAGTGATAGTGAATAGAGCCCTGGCGAAAGGAAAAAGACAGAAAGCAAAAAAGAAAAAGCAAGCCTGCAAACGAGCAGCAACATGTTGGAGCCAGCGCGATTACAAAGTTCGGAGCAAGCATGACGCTGTCTCCTGTCAGTAGCAGTCTTAAGGAGATGGTATTGGCGCGTGGTTCATAATTTTTTCAATATCTTCTTGGCACCCACGGCATTGCCTGTCGAGGACGCTTTGGCCGGGAATGTGAAACTGACCCAGAAGCTCCAAAAGTATGTCTCAGCCTTTGGGGGTCCGCGGCGCAGGCTGCAAGGATTTCAGACCTCTCGGCCGGACTCGGCCTCTCGAGATCTAGCTTGCCCATGCTGTCCTTCGCGTCTGGAGCAGACACCCTGCCCGTCCTTCGTCCTGACTTTCTGAGCGCTGCCTTTAGCACCAAGGTAAAGCGAGAAGACTTTCAGCCAGATCAGGCCGAACTTGAGACGCTGTGACGCTGCCGTGCCTTTCCTGAGAAAAGAAGCTGCTCTTGAGGTGCGGAAGGTGTCGAACGCGGCCACGTCGCTGTGCATGTGGGTGCGGGCCATGGACGTGTCCGACGCTGAGAGTGGCTGGCGGCTTCGGTTCCGGACCGGTGAACAGAAAATGCCCCCAGGGCCAAGCTTAGATGCCCTAACGTCCTAAAGGTGGCTTTGGGAGCTTTAGGCTCAGGATGCAGGGTGCCGGTGGCTTAGGGCAATCCGACGGCTGCAACGTGCTTGCATCAGAAGGCACAACGATCATTGCTCTCGTGTTCGAGTAAATCGCATAATATCGCATACACCTGCGGGATCGCTTGTCCCTCTGCGGATGCGGATGTGTGTGTCGGTGCCCGCGCGTGGATTCGTGAAAATGGGTCGCTGCATCGGGTCGCAGGTACGCACGCGTGGCTCGCTCCATCGAGCCGAAGAAGGAGAAGCTGAAAGGAGCCGAGGCTGGGTACAGGGAGGCGGTGGAGCTTTCTACTGTCACCCGGGTCACCCGCTGTACCGGTACTGGCTTGAAACAAAGGTGGCGGATTGCTAGCGCTGCTAGTGAAAGACTGGCTTCTGCCATGATGGAAATACGGTCAATGCTCCGCTCATCTGCGCAAAATTAACAGGACGCCTTTGCCACAGCGGAAGCAAAGCTGCAGGCGAAAAAGAAGGACGGGAGCAGCCGTTAAACACCTGCAGATACCTGCAGCTAGGCAAGTCAGCTACAAAAGCAAGCCGTACCAGGCCGTCCCTTTGTCCACACATAGGCACTGCAGACAGAACGGACCCAACGAGACGCCTTGCAGGAGCTCCAGGTGGTACAAGACAATGCCTTGCACTGAGCTGCCTCGCGCGACACGGGGGCCTTTCGCCTCCCTCTTCTTGGTTTCCGCGAGCCGTGCTTCTCTTGTTTCCAGGTGGCTGCGCTGCAGCAGCAGCTCGCAAAAGCCAGGCTGAATCAGACGGCGAACTCCTAGAATTGACACTAATTGCGGACCCTCCTGTAGCAAAGTTATCGTGGACCACGCCTGTGATGATAGCTCTGAGATGTGGAAGGAGCAAAGCGGAGAAGCTCGAGCAAGACGCTGAGACCTGCAAGGCTGCCAGCCCTTGGAAGCACCAGTGGAGCGAAGCCCCAATATGTGTTCCCACCGTGATGCTGTTCCAACCATCCCGCGAACCATCCGGGTTTCTCATCATCTCGCAAGAAGCGTCTTGTAGATCCGCATAGCACGTTCGCATGCTTTCGCGCCGCCGCCGGGAGTCTTGTGACGGTGGCGGCAGCTCGATAGCACTCTAGTGCTTTTGGAAAGGTCCAGCTAACTCGAGCGGAGAAGCTGCTGTCCGGATTGGGCAACGAGCCAGGGCCTCAGGGAGCTGTTCAGCGAGTATCCGGGCGTCTGTGCGGCCTGCGGAGCCCCGTTTGTGTACCGAGGTCTGTGCGTTGGGATGCTGCTAGCCAAGTCCTGGAGAAGAACATCAAATTCGTGATGGGCTGCTGCCCCGTTTTGGTCAAGTCCGGCGCTGCCATAGTGACAGTTGGGACGTGCCAAGTCGACAGAAAACGGAGCTTGGAGAAGTCAGTTCCGGTGACTTGAGTAAACTGAGCAGAGCATGGTAGCATGAAGAGATGGCTTTTTTTTTGCGGGTGACATGGCCTGGTGGCCTCTGTGACGAGGGCCCCTCTGAGCTGCTCCGAGGCGACATCGCGTTGGCCGCGGGCTTCATCGCCTACGCCGGGCCCTTCACCGCCGCCTTCCGGGGCGCGCCCGGAGCCCCGGCAGCGGAAGCTTCGCCCGCGTGGCAGACCGCGGCAGACCGCGTGGCCGAGGCTCATCGCCCATTGGCTCGAAAAAGCGAAGGAGGCCTCTCAGAGAACCTGCGATCTGAGCGCCATGACGGCCACCGCCATGCGACCGCCATGCTGATGGTTTGAAAGTCGACTCAGTTCACTCAGTTCTCGATGTCTTGCGACATCTTGCCACCTCTCAGCCCGTGCTTCTGCCACCCCGTCCTCGCATGGGCTCCTCGGAAACAAGAGGAGCCCTCAGTTTCGTTTTGCTTGAACTTTCGAAGATGGCCAGAAAGCTCTGCCTGCTATGCTGTAGCCTCTCACCACGGCCGTGGGACAGGTGAATTTGACCGCAGACCCTGCTTGGAAGCCGCAGCCCAAGTTACTTGGGCACCCGGGTTTGGACTGTTTTTTTTTCGCAGGCGGTCTTCCTTTTGGAACAGGCTACAAGGGCCCCGTTGCGCAGCAGTACAGTGTACTTCTTTTGGGTCTTCGGGTCTGCCCCCGGCCGTCTCTCTCGAGACTAGGGTCGAGGTTTGGTCACTGCACGGTGTGCAGAAGTGCTAAAGCTGCTAAGGCTGAGGCTGAGACTATGGGGTGTTCGATGTGTTCGAAGTCGGCAACCACTTCAAATTTGCTGCGATTTCTTGGTCCCGTTCTAGTTCTAGATGTCTGATGCATCTCTGCAACTCCGCTCGCAGCGGTTTCCAGCGCACGGAATCTCAGGAGCATCCGTGTGCCTACTGGTGGGCCTGCCGCATGAATCCTGATGATGATGATGATGATGTCTGTCTCTCTGTGCCTGCTCCAGTATGGCTACCGCTCTCGCTTATTGCCGGTCCTGCAATAATAGCGAAGCCTTCTGTTGCGAAATGCCAGTGGGTCTCCACTTAGGCTGGCCACAGCTGCATACTCAAAGCAAACCCTCAATTCTCAATGACAGGCCTTCGTCGCCCCAATTCACAGGAGACATATCACGTACACCTAGAGACCTAAACCCAGCTGCCGAGCGGCTCACTCTGTGCGTGTGTGTTGGTGTGTGTGTCCGTGTGTGTCTTTGTTTCAGTCTGTCTGTGTGTCTCTTATCCGACCGACGCAGCTTGACAGGTGTTCGGACACTCTTTGCGAGCCCGCAGAGATTCGAGAGTGGAACATCAAGCTGCTCGGCAACTTCTTATTCGACGATGAGCGATTCCTTCTCGCTTTGGATTATGGGCATCCTTCTCGCATTCGGCCGTGCTTCAAGTCGGCCAAATTGAGCAGGCATAACCTGGAGAAGTGGCTGAGGGCTTTGGGTATGCGCAGTTGTTTCGGCCTGCAGCTTTCCGAAAAAATCTGCACTTGCAATTAAAGTCTAGTCTAGGCTTGTTTGTGCGCGGAATGAGACATGACGTTGCTTAAAGCTGTTATATCACAAGCGAGTTGTTGCTTTTGGAACCGATTCAGACCCTGGCCGTCTCCGGAGTCCACACAATCCTGTCACCAGCAAAGCCTCCTCGGCTAGAAGCTCTTGAACTAGCTCTGGAGCTTCAAGAATTTGCCGCGAGCACACCGAGTCACGACACGTCTCACTGTCATTCACAGTTCTCAAGGACATTTGTCAACTTGCAAACGAGATTCTTGTTCGAATTCAGGGTCTTCCCAATTTGTTTCCCAGGTCCCTACCCGCTGACGACCTATCTGTGGAGAACGGCATACTGGTGACACGAGGCGGGAGCGCGGAGCACGACGTGCTTAAAGCACAATGTTCTGAGGTGCACATGCCCAATTGCTCACCACCACTACTACTACTACTACCACCACCACCACCACTACCACTACTGCCGCCGCCACTACTACCCCCTCTATAAGTCTAGGCCACGCCGGCCACATCAGCACAGTGCGGCGATAAGTCATATCTTGATTATGGACTGTAACAATGGATAGGAAGGCCGTGGAAGGCCTGCGGCTTCATGTCGCATGGAGGAGAAGCCCGGCCGAGCCGGACAAAAGAGCCGGGATAAGCATGGGGAGCCCAAGGCTCGTGGCTCGGGAAGGCCACGAGGCAGCGAATACTCTCCCACAGTAGTTCCATGTCGAAACTGATTGGGAACGCGCGACTCACAAAGTATGCCGGAAGAACAGGAAGTTCAGAACACACATCCAATCATATCCTACGCCCCGCACAGATTCGTATTCGGGCCAGGTCGCCGGTGGCCGCTGATGATTGATCCACAGGGCCAAGGAAATCGCTGGATCCGCAACATGAAGAAGGCCTCGGGACAGGGCGACGTGGATTGCTTTGAGAGCCGGGGCAAAGCTTGCAAAAGCTTGTTCGGTATTTCCCTGTGCGGACGGTGTAATTCGTTCACGGTGACGGCTCAGTCTCGCCGGACTAAGCGCAGCCAGGACAGTGGTTTGGGCATCATCAAGCTCAGCACTCCCAACTTCCTGCGGACGGTGGAGACCTGTATCCGCGAAGGCACGGAAATCCAGATCATGCATCAGGTAGTCAGGTAGTGGCAATGGCTCCGTGGCTACGCAGGAACACGCAGTAAAGAGCATGGAAGTACGACATGATTGTTGCAGGACACACGGCTGTTTTCAGACCCCGACATCCCGGGGTGCCTGACAGGCAACGCGATCCTTTTGGAAAACGTTGAGGAGGCCTCGCATGATGCGCATAGGTTCATGTAAAAACTGGTCGTGCTGCGTCGTAGTATCTTATGTGAAAGAGTCTCTCGTGATTCCACGTACTTCCGGAAGTGCGGAGGGTTGCAACCGGGCACGGGGCTCATTGGTCGCAGCAGGGCTTGTTAGGCGCTTGCACCGATATGAAATTGGCTGTGAGGTGCTGGATCCTTCCTTGGAGCCCGTGCTCCTCAAGCAGGCAGGCTTTTCTCCTCGAAGTGCCCGGCTTTGAGAATAAACTGAGCTGACGCACCATCTCGATACACAAGGATTCCCCTGCCCCCTGCACACAGTGCTTCAACGACCTCGCAACCTGACTGTAGTTCTGCGCATGGGATCAAAGCTGGCACGACACTGGAGGTCTTCAAAAAGGGCGGCCAGCTTCTGCTGCGACTAGGCAGTGAGGATGTGTTCTGCACTCAGACGATACATCCGCCTTTGAGCATTCTTATCAGTTGAGTGTGTTGCTTGCTTGGCCTTGCTGGGCTTTGTGCTGCATGGGCACGACTGACGTGCAGCACAGTCTAGCAATGCATCCAGCTCGGAATCGGTGCACAACACTGTGCCATGCTTCTGCACAATCTGGAGATCACAGGCCCTACAACGAGAGCTTCCAGTTCTTCGTAACCACGAAAATGGCCAATCCGCACTACCTCCCCGAGATCTGCATCAAGGCACGCTGAGCATGGGCAGAGAGGCTTGGAATATGTTGCGGCTGCGGACTTCCCTCCCAAATGCCGGGACAGCATGAAGTTCTTCTGAACAGCCCAGTATGCTTGTCTTTGATATCAGGTAACTGTCATCAACTTCACCGTGACACTGCTGGGCCTGGAGGTGGGGGGGGGGGTGGGGGCGTAGTGCAGATCGGAGAGGGAAGGCCTGTAAGGCTGTAGTACTGTAGCACCCTGCGGCCGGGCTCTCTGGCCTAGCCTCCCAGTTCTCTGTGCAGGATCAGCTCGTGGCGGAGGTTGTGAAGAACGAGCGCCTGCCCCGGAAGGGATTTTCGGCAGTTGCCTTCTCCGTTTCAGCGATTTCCTGCTGCTCCGCTTGTGCTCCGCCGCTCCCCGGGCTCCGCGCAGCTCCTGGGCCTGCGCCGCCGGCCGCGGCTGCGGCCGCCCGCGCCGTCCGCTCCGCAGTGACTCCGTGGCGACACGCAGCCGCTGACGCGACCGGGGTCACGGCACCGGCCCGGATCAAAGCCACATGACGAGCACAGAATCTCAGCGCGGACACTGAGCAGACGCCGAGAGGCTGACCACCGCCAGCTTACATCAACGGCCGATGTGCCGAGGCTTGGAAGTGACTTGGTCATCGGCGGCCCCACAGCGACTTCGCCTGGAAGCTTGCCATGGGCACATCACTGGCCGAGAGAGACGTGCTGTGGCTGGCTGTCGGAATTCCTGTCTACGGCGAGCACTTGGAGCCGTCGCTGCCGAGTCCAGATGAAAGCCCAAGTTCGAGACGAGCACGAACATGGACTTCGCAATGCCTCCAACCTGCTCTCCGTGTTCTTTTGATCTTGGCATCAGCCCGGAGCGATTGGTTTTGATTGCCGAGGTGCCGCAGCCGTGTATACTAGCACTTCTGCAAGAGATGTTGAGGCTTTCCCAGTGACTTTTGATTTTGCTCTCTCCGTGAGACTTGGTGCACTTTCGCGATCTGGGCAGAGACTGCACTCCACTTTGAAGAGAAGCCACTGGCCTTGGCAGAAGTGTTGCGGCGTGCCGAGACCTACTCTGTAGACAGCACTTCCAGGAGATGAGCATCGAAGCCTTTGAACCGAAGCGCAAAAAGCCGTGGCCGGTGGGTTGAGAAGAGCCCACTCCGGCGCTTGCGGCTAGGAATCTCTCTAGGTCTAAGCTTGCGCTTAGAGAGAGGGGTATGGTGTTTTGAAGAGACGCGTGAAGCTTTCGTGCGGCTCTGCAGGCGCCCGGACTTGTCCGAGCTGCGTGCAGGGCTCGTGGTGCAGATCGCTGCAGATAAGGCCCGGCCCCGCGGAATCCGCGGAATCCCCAAAAAGAGAAGCCTAGGCTTCCTACTGTCTCTGGGTCGGTGGTTCTGGGTCCCCTTATATAGGGGCAGGCGCTTTTGGCGATTTTGGGCCGTCGGAGGCCGAGATGGACCGGCTGGAGCAGCTGATCCTCAAGCTGCTCAGTGAGGCAACGCACACTTCTCGCTGCAAGTTTGTGGTGTTTTCTGCAGCGTGAGGAGACTCAGGGATCCCAGTGAAGAGTCATGCCTGCTGCGCGGTAGCCTGCAGGCTGGGGACGATCTTCTCTCCGACGATACCTTGATCGTGACCCTCGATCAGCGGGAGCCTCTGAAACCCTCGCCATAGCTGTTGATTCCAAAGGTGCAGCGGCCATCTGCAGGGTCACATCAGAAACGGTCTACTACGGTGGACGTGGCAAATGCATGGCTCAAAGACTGCGTTTCGGGGACCCGGAAACCGGGCCCTGAGGTCGAAGAAGACCGGGGATGGTTGCAAGGACCTGCCGCGACCTGCAACGTGGCTTCTGTTTCAGAGCGAAGCGCTGTGACAGGAGCGAATGGTCTCAGCCGAGCTGAGTATGAAGGAGATCGATGAGGCTTCCGCCTCCAGTGCTTTCTCCAAGAAAGAGGAGAGAGGTTAGAGGTGCAAGAAGGTCAGTGTAGTGTTGCAGGATGCCCGTCAAAACAGAAACCTCACCACAGCAAAGCTATACCCAAAATCGTCGGCGACAGACGTTGTTGTTGGGAGGGAGAGGGAGGGGGGGCTTAAAGGCCCCAAGCCTTGGCTTTCAGGTGATGCCTTGAGCCGTGTTGAAAGCGTTTCGACGTTGCCCTGAGTACCGACACTTGCAGACCTCTGCTGGAGGGTGGCCGCAGGTTATGTTCGAAATGGCCCTAACTTTGAGAATCCCTACATGCATACCCGATGGTTGTATCCCCAGAGTTGCGTGGGCTCAAGCTTCAAATTGGCGCACTTGTGGAGCTCGCGGGAACTTTTGGGCAACCATGCGTAAGAATCAGGTCAAAGCCCTCCGGCAAGCAGTGAGAATGTATTTTAAATTTAGCCTGTAATATTTGGTGGCAGGGGTCTAAGTGGGTGAAGCGAACATGGACCGGTGTAGAGCTTCGAAGTGAAGGATTACAGGAAGTCGCCTTACAGCTCAGCTTGGAGGACTAGGGATGAGCAGTGATACTGTGATGTTTTCTCTTGGCGTATGTGAGAGAGTTGTCGGGCTGCGATTGCCGACATGAGCTTCTCTCATGCCGCTGCTCGGATGTTAAGTTTGGACGCCTGTCAGTTTGGCTTAGAGTGTATGGGTGCTGTGGCAACCTGAGGCTGAGTAACTTCCAGCTTCCGTAGCAAAAACAAGCCAAGCTGATTTACTTGTTGGCCTGAATCCAAATGAAAGCGTAAATCCGAAGCCCTGAACACGTCCAAATCCCAGGTTGCTTGTGCATCATGGATTCTGCTGGCCTTTGTGTTTTGGCCCATGAGCTGGATGGGCTCAATCTTCCGACACGGTCGACTGGGCACTCTGTCGGTCAGTGTTGTACTAAGCTTGCAGCAACAATCAGGGTACTGATACCAATAAGCCAAAATTGGCAATGATAGTAAGAATAATCATGACGATTACCGGGTTCAGAGTCTAAGTCCAGGGTATAGGATCTAACATTGGCGGTTCAACTATGTAGGTTCCTTCGGGGACACATAGTGGCAAGCTGCAAGTGCTGCGGTCCCTTATATGTATATGTGACATGTGTGTAGCCAGCTGGTCGATATACCCAGGTGACTTGCGAAATGTTTCAGCCGCTGACACGCTGCGAAGACGTACCAGCAGCCCAACCGGGCATACTGTTGCATGCTTGGTTACTGGCAGAACCCGTGCAGGCGAGGTCGGCGGAATTCGGGCATACATGGCAGATGTGACTGCCCAAGCTGATCTCTTCGTCTGCGCCGATCCGGAAGATGCTGGCGCCATGGTTCTTGCAAACTTCTCCAACCTGGTGTCCTACAGGACATCAAGTGAGGACGGCGGCTACCCGTCAGATCTGCAAGGAGTTAATGTCATTGTGGCCCAGTGGTGGCGTTTGCAGCAGTGTTGGAAGCTCGTACAAGAGCACGAGGAACGCCACCGTTTCAGGTACAGCTTCTACATGAAAACGCAACCCGATTGTCACAGATACAATGCGTGCTATCCATGCTTGGACACATACAAGGCCGGTCTTCACAAAAGCCACGTGCAAGCCATGTGCAAGGTTGTGCTCCACGCTCACATGTCTGCACAAGAAGTAGCCGAGACCCTGAAGCCAAATCCGCAACTTCTGCCTGCCAAAATCTGTAGGCGGCACTCGACAAGCATGGCGCTGGGTTGGACAATGTCTTCTTTGCCAACAGCGACCACATCTTTGGTGGTTCCCGTCGAGGGTTTGAACGGGCAGCAACGATGATGTCCAGGATTGAGAGTGATTACTTCGGCAAGACGTTGACCACGTACTATCCGCTAGATTGGGACTTGGTGCTGCGTTCAGAATGGAATGGTCAGTTGCACTGGGCGGGCATTGTGTTTCCACGTGATGTGCTGGATCCTGAGCGCCTTACCTGAACGGACCTGCCGCCTCTTGCAGGCCCATGCAGGCCTGCACGTGCAGGTCCAACGAGGTTCTGATGACAAGGCAGCCTTAAATTTTTCGGAGGAGGCAAACTCTGCGCCCAAACGAGCACACGCCTTGTTTTGCAAGCCCGAAGCCATGAGTCTAAGTAGCCAGGTTCCCTCCGCAGCCGTTGCTGGGAAGTATGTTTCATATGAAGCTTTCTGAGTATAGCTCCGGCAAGCCTTATGAAACGTCGTCAAGCATGCAGCGTTGGGGCGGCACGCCCCCTTTGGCAGTATGGCAAAAGTGCAGACTATTGATACGATTTTTGTAGAGCTGATGGCCCTTCCTGGCTGAGGCATTGCTGCAGTCGTCAGGATCTGGAGAACAAGCTGGCAAAATTGCATGAGTTTAGCAAGAATGGCACACCTGTGGATGGCAAAGTGTGCAACTTGAAGGGCGACTGTTCACGGGGGCGGAATGGCACGCATGAGGGTCTCAGCTCTTACAGGTACGCTCCGGACAGCGTGCCGTTCGATTCTGAGGTATCTTTCCTCCTTGATATGCTGCGAGGTGGAATCGAGATGCATGAACTTCGCTCGTTATCCAAGAACTTGACGAGGGCCGAGCACAATCGAACAGGTTTGTACCCAGTCCTAAGCCCTTCCGGACATAAAGTTGCATGCATCTCTGGCGAAAATAGACATAAGTCTTGCTTTCTGGCGCCGTTAATCGTAAGGCTGTAAGAAAACACCGAAGATCAAGATGCTCAGTTTAGGTATCATTTCTGGCAAAATTCGAGGCAGCGATCGCAAAACTTTCGATGACAAAGCCAAGGCTCAAATGAAGGAGGTTACGGCAGGCACAGATCTCTTTGTCTGTGCTGACCAGGAGGACGAAAAACCGAAAACCCCTGAGCCAGTGACCCCTAATTTTTAGACTCGGAGGCTGAGGGAATTTTGGGACCGTAGCTGTCACTGAAGTCACTAACTTTAACTTCTGACCCAGCATAGTCCGGTTCCAAGTCTACTAATTATACAATTTTGGCTGGCTGCTTCTGGTTCCCCGAACCTCCTGGGCCCCGGAGACTAGAATATCACATGACTTCGCCGTGTCTAGCCCCTCCGAACCCCAAACCCTGCATAAATGAGGCCCTGGCTAGATTATGGTCTTCATAAGGGCTTTTTGGAACTAGGGTCGCGATCCGAATAAGTGACAATGTCGGGGCTGGCTTTTGAGAGAGCAACAGTTCACCCAGGGCTCACATAACCTGATCAACAGGACCACATTGAGGAGCATTTTCAGAACTTTAGCAACCTCGTGCAGTACAGGACGCGAGCATGGACTTGGGATGTAGTCATGCTAGGAAGATAGTACTCTCAAGTACATAGGTGTCTCGGTTTCCAATTCTGCGTCGAGATCTTGTGCCATAGGCTTCTTGGACTTCAGGACAGCGGAGGATGACGGGGGGTACAAGGCAGGTTGTCAAAAGAGGGATCCTAACAACCAGGTTTTCGTTGCAATTTGAGGGGTGATAATAACAGGGTGTTGGGATTGTACACAACACTATCATTATGAAAGGATCAAATCCGGGACATCGTGTTGAGTCTTTACAACCCTCTTCAGGATTTAGGGTTCAGGATTCCAGGTGTCGGACATGAGAGAGTGTTCCCAATACCCCAAATAGACCTCATTATAGTAGAACCCCTATGATAAAGACCGTGTAATGGGCCTTGCCGCCTCATGGCAGGGTCCAGGGCACTGAGGGCGCCGAGTTTGAGGGATTCAAAGGGGTTCCTGGGCTTTGTTGCTCTGCGGCCCCGGACCAGGCGGACTTGAAGAACATCGATCAGCCCAAGAGAGATCATGAGCCTGGCACACCACCTGGCATGAAGGCAATACAGTGGTGGCGCTTGCAGCAGTGTTGGAGGCTCGTACAGCAGTACGAAGAGCGCTTTGACTTCAGGTACCTCTGGAGACCTTGAACATAGCTTTTGTAGACATGTTTGTTACTTAGAAGCACAACACTAGCACCATATCACAATCTATGTTGAGGTCCCGAGTTCAGTGCCAGGTACAGCTTTTATTACAAAACGCGGACAGATTGCGATACGCGCGGGGGGTGCTACCCGTGCTTGGGCACATATGAGGCGAGTCTGCCGGCAATAAGCATAGTCGCTGGAACCCCGATGCGACACCCACGTTGAAATTCGTGCGTGCATCAAATTAGCTTGCCATTATGGACCGTCACTATCCTGCTGCTGCTGCTGCTGCTGCTGCTGCTGCTGCTTGAAGCTGCACTGTAATGGAATGTCTTGAAGAATAAGCACAAGGTTTTTGGGGAAAAACTATACAGACTTTTCTCTTCAAAGGAACCACATGATCGGTTGGAAGTAGGTCAGCCTCCAGGCGGCCACCAAAAAGTATGGCGCCCAGTTGGACAAGGTCTTCTTTGCCAACAGCGACCGTGTCTTTGGCGGTTCGCGTCGAGGATTCGAACGGGCAGCGACATTCATGTCCAGGATTGAGAGCGACTACTTCCGCAAGACGTTGACGACATACTATCCATTGGATTGGGACTTGGTGCTGCGTTCAGA